TTAAAAGTGATCGCAAAGTTAGTTTGAATGTTTTACAAAATGAGTTTTTACAGTCGACCTCCGTAAATGTTTCCACATCTTCACGAAGAAAGTTACTACGCCCATGTCGGAAAGAGAAAACCATACGTTAGTGTCCCAAATTGGAAGATCCGTTACAACTGGGCAAAAGAACGTTTAGATTGGACTTCCGAGTGGGATAATATTATTTAGAGTGACGAGGTGATGGTCGTAGTCATGTTTGGCGCTTACCTAATGAAAAATATGATGTAAATTGTCTTGTACCGATGTTTAAGTTGAGTAGAAGGGGGTGATGATATGGGGATGTTTTACTGCGGATGATTTGGGTCCGTTGATCCGAATTAATGGCCGACAAAAATCAAGTGATTACGTTGACCTTTTGGAAACTCATTTATTACCTTTTTTGGATATTCTTAATCCTGATTTAGAGTACACTTTCCAAGATGACAGTGCACCAATTCATCAGGCTCGGGTAGTATCAAATTGGTTTGAGGAAAATCAGGTCGATCATCTTCCGTGGCCCGCACAGAGCCCGGACCTCAACCCAATCGAGCACCTTTGGGATGAATTGGAGCGTCAGGTCCGTAGGCGTATTCCATTGCCGACTAGTGAGGCTGAGCTCTTTTTCTTTTTGGAAGAAGAGTGGTATAATCTTGACGAATCTGTTTACCAAAATTTGATTAATAGCATGCCCAATCGTATTCTTGCTGTAAAAAAAGCTAGAGGAAATCCTACAAAATATTAATTACATAAATAAATATAATAAAGCATTAGCGAAATTTTTTTAAAAAAAATTTGAATACATTAATAAATTTTTTCCCCATAAAATCGGTTAGAAAATTTTTATCATTTTACTGATCATTACTAAAAATGATCAACAGCCGGTGACTTTTGTCAGGGGAGTGTACAGAGGTTACAAATACACTAGGCAAATGGAAACCATTTAAGGTCCGAAGAACTTATCACGGATCAGTCCGACAATGGGTATTTTCAGAGCAAGATTTGTTTTTTATTAATCAACCAATCAAAACCCTTAATTTGCGGACACACACACACAACCAGGTCACTATGGAGTTTTACTGAAGCAAACAAAGTATAGTTCACAATTTTTCTTTTCTTTTTATTGTCTGTAAACGTTACAGAGGTCTATTTCTACCGATTTGATGCATTTTCATATATTTTATTCTTCACTATGCCAAACATTTCACTTTATTCGTTAGATTAAAATTTAAATATTAAGTTTTAAATATTGTTTGGTTATAATCGATATGTGTTGGGAATGAAAGCTTGAAAATGAAATTTACATTTTCACTCTAGTGAATTTATTCCCAGAAAAAAATTGTATAATCGATGTTATAATCATTTATATACAATTTTCAATTTAATACTTTTACATATTTCTCTAGAACGATAACAATAAAATATGATAGTAGCATATGTTTGACTAATTGTAACGACCAGTATAAATTATTATTACTCCCGAAAATCCTGAAGATCATACTGGTATTTTGAGTTTATTGATTGTCTACCATGCCGATATACTATATTCTTTCGTTCCAACCAAAACTTAAGCTTAAGTAACTTACATCAATCTTTTCAGTAATTTACATTACGAGACAACAGTCAGCAAAATTTCACTCTTTGGTTTGGTTGATAACATTAAACGTGTAAGTATTAAGACCACTACTTATAAATTATCAATATGTTTTTTTTTTACATACAAATGATAGTTTTTGCAATCTAATTAGTAAACCCATTTTAAAAGCATATAATCTAGTTATACAAAAGCTTTCTTTTGCGATGACAAATGCTCAAATTCGAACTATATTTTTAAATTTAGTAACGGATCTCTATACTCGAAAAAACCAGGGTGCTTAGTAAATTTTCTACTTCAGTGCTGGCACATTTTCTGGTTATACAATATGTTGTATGTTAAAGTTTATGCTGAAATGCATACTACAGTAATTAATAAATGCTATAGAATTTTACTTATTATATTAAGATGCTTTATATATGAATATTTTCGTTTTCAGTGACTATCTGTTTGTTTAAATAACATTATACTTGAATGCATTTATGAATTTCTCTTAACAATCCTGTCTCTCAACTTTCGGTTTAGGTTTCTTTGGTGAAATGGTTACTGGATCGAGTTCAAGTTCATTTTTATAATCTAATTCATCGGGCATTTTCATAATCTGATTCATCGGCATTTTCTACATATAAAATAATGGCTTCTGCACTCGAAGAGGTCATCTAATAATACTCAGGAATGTTAATTATAGAATATATGAGTGCTGTCAATAGAAAACCTGTTATCGGACTTTCAATTATATTTTGTGTACAGTTAGCCGTCTACGGAAAATCTATCGTCATGATATAATTTTTCATAGATGGCTAACTGTACACAAAGTATAATTGGAAGTCCGATAACATGTTTTCTATTGACAGCACTCATATATTTAAAGTTTAAAGAAAGATTTATTTGTGTACTTTTACAAAAATTAAATTTAAGTGATTTTTTTACATAAATTTACATATAGTATTGAGGTGAGTTGACTCACTTGATTTATAACTAACAGCAATGCAAACTCTTATATATGAACATGTCCTATGACTGTTAACCTTACAACTAATACTTGGCAGAGTAAATTTAAGATTAATCTTAAATTATCAAATTCAAAAAATTAATTTATTGAGCCATATATTTTATAAAATACTGCTTCATAGATATATTTATTAAGAAAAATACATAAATACAGTTCAAATTGTCTCTATGCCAACTCTAATTCGTTATAATAAAGAATTAAATTTACGATTATTCGGAAACTTTTGGTTGCTTTTTCCGTGACATAGTTGGAATAGCCGTTACCGCCCTCGTTCTTGAATGAGGTGTTTTATTCTGAGTGCTACCATTTTCTTCTATTAGTAACTCGATATTACTTGAAGCACTTTTATGCCTAGAAGTTTGTGGTATTATTTGTTGTGCCAAAGAAAGCGCAGCACGTGATGATCGATTTTTTCGATTATTCGGTTGTTCTACTTCTTGATCTTCTTCTTCAGATGAACAATAATTTTTCTTTTAATGCGTTTTGTGGGTAAAACTGGTGGTAGTGTAGTCTCTTCTTCGTTTTCTTCTCCGTCGGATGTAGAAGTGGTTGTTGGTTTATTCGCACTATTATGGTCGTAAAACGTAACTGGCGATCCTTCGATTGTTTTGATATTGGAAATACACCAGAACTGGAATTGCCATTATTCCCATCTAAATTAAAATATTTATACTTAAATTATAGATGACCATAGATAAATACGAGAGTAAATTTATGTAAATAAGTATACCATCATTTCTTCAAATTCCATGTGTTTGTCATCAGAAATCTCCTCGACCAAGTTAGAAAATTTTATTTGTATGCCAATTGAAAACTGCAATAGTTTCAACTTTTGGCTGTAATGACGATGGGCCTGAAAGTTCTGAATTATTTAATAGTTGTTTTAATAAGCACAATTTCATTTATATTAATTTGTACAAACCGTGTTTTAACGCAGGATAAGATTTTTTCCATAAATCATCCATTAAATCTACTATAGCTCTAATTAAATCAGCTGTTTTATTTGTACTGCCCTCAATTTTGAGATTGTCAAAAAACATCCCTAAACTAGACTTTAACGCCACCATACTGTAACCATCGTAAGGGAGAGCTTGCAATTGTCATGCCGAATTTAACTCTGATGGTTAACGTTAGAAGGGTCACATGAATTGGGCAATTAATTAGATATTCGAATATTCAGGATTTATTAGGTTATAATAAAAAGAATGTGAACTTATGTTATCTTTATTTAGAGAGGAATTTTGAGAGCGAATATTATCCTCAACTAAGGATGAGAGCAAGCACTTATATACAGGACAATTTTTTAGAGTGACTACAGTGTACTCGCGGTAGCTTCCGCGTATTCGCGGTAGCTACAGCGTACTCGCTATAATCACCGCGTATTCGTGGTTGCATGAACTAAGCCTCCAACAATATATTATAATGCCTAATACTACTAAGGTAAGATTAATATGACTATGATGGTACAACTATGGAAGGTAAGCGACAACTTAAAGAATTACAAATACAGAAGTGAAGAGACACAGGAAAAATTAATCATTACAATACATGTTCCATTTCTCTGCCATGAGTGAAATGTCGAATTTATATAATTAATGATTTCAAAACGTGCTTCTGTTGTCGTAGAAATCATAATTTCAAATAGAGCCTCAATAATTTTTACTGTAGGGGAGACGGTCTCCAGAAGCCATATTAAGCCAGACAGCGCTTCAGGGTGTGCTGTATAAACAATCAATCCGTAAAAAAATATATATTTGTAGTGTTACACGAAAACATACATCATAAACTTACTTAAAGGATCCAAGCTTTTTAGGTAAACTGATGTGCTCATAAATTTTTCAGTCTGGTTAACATCATTGCCATATTCTGATCCTATCAAATTAAATAGGTATATCTGTTCAAATGAATCCCACTCCAAAGCGCATGCTAGATTTAAACATTAAAGCAAAATTACTATATGAAAATAGGATAATTCAAGATGATTTCGCTAGATAGCATGTATAGTTAATCAAACCAAGGATAGAATCTACGCCTTCGACGTCGCCGATAACCTTGTATTTTTGTTGTCTCAAATCAGTTTCAAATTTATAAATCTAATGTATAAATTAAAAAAAGTTACTTTGACGTTTAATTTTTATTTTACATACTATTGCAGGGTTTACTCCGCTTGCAATCATGTAAATGAACCGTGGAGTTCCAACGAAAATATTTGGCCAGAACTTGAGCAATTGTGGAACCATGGATAAAAATACACTATTTTCGTTCTCCTGAAGAAGCTAGATAGAAAAAATAGATATAGTCTAAGGTAATATTATAAAAAATATATATATATAATTACGTGTAAAAAGAGCATACGGTCAGATCTTCCAACCATCTCTGTTTAAATTCTTCTTCAACATTAGATGATATCTTTTCACGTGTAATTTCAAATTTTAGGTAAGCGGTATACAACTCGATAGCGTCTGGCAAGTTTATATTTATGCTACCCATTGTATCAAGTAACACGCTCGATGTATCATGCAATCCACTCGATTGTGATCTCCTATAACAAGCCAAATTAATTTAAAATAGAAATAACATTAAATTATATATAAGTAAAAATAATTACCCTAGACAATACATCATTAATTTTGATCGTGCTTTTGCATGAATTTCGTTGCTTCCATCTGTCTGTTTGGCGCAATTAATAATCAGTCTCAGTAGTTCAAATGCCTTGTATTTATTAGAATTGTTATCGTTTGGTTCAGTTTTCCATTGAAATATCCACGAAAGCAATAGGTTGAAAAGATTTCTTCCCGAGGGCTCAATTTTAAGTAATCGATTAGAAAGATCATAGCAGTCCTTTAGTTCATCAAAGTTAATTGAATTACATAAAGGGGCTGCTAACTTTTCGGGCAATTCCTTAAAATGAGGCGAATTAGGAAATCCGAGGTCGACATTCTGCGTAAATATTAGTAAATATAAACGATTGATCGATGACATTTGGATGATTTACATAGTATTGCTAATATTACCTTCAAAAATATCTCGAAAATATTTTTTAGATGTTCAAGGGACTCATCAATATAATTATTCTGAATGGCTTTCTCAAAGTTTGGCAACGCAGATAAATATAACCACATTCGTAACTTTTTAGGATTGTCGATAGTAGTTCTCTGATCTGAAGGTTTTAATGCTGACGTCGGAGGTATTTGTTGCCTGGGTACTGAAACAGGCAAATCTTGCTGCGTTGGTTGAACTAAAGGATTGCTTTGCATTGGTAGGGAATCGTAGTTTACAGATGTGCGTCTAGAGTTTTGCTGATCACTATTTGAAGTGCTACCTGTTTGATTTAATGGTCGGTTATATAAAGCGCCAGCAGTTTGATTTAAAGGTGTTAATTGCTGCCGTGGAGGTAAAGAAGGACTTTGCTGTTGGAAGCTTTGCTGCGATAATTGTTTATTGCCACCCCATATTTCCAATATTATCCTACTAGCAGCACGGCCATCGTTGGTTTTACTTCGGATCATGTTAAGTTCTTCTATCCTGTATATTAGATAATCATATATGTAAGCTCTTGAAAAATTATTGACAACTAAATAAATAAAATTTTCTTACGTCATAACATTCCTTCGTATAACGGTTTGAGCAGCAACTCTAACATTTTCACGAATTTCAGGATCAAAACCTGGAAGAAAATTGCTAATTGAGGATCCCAAATATTCAATTAATTCTGGACCAAATTGAGAGTCAGTACGATACGATTCTAATATCAAGCGGACAGTTGGCTCTAAAACAAAATAAAAGGCAATTAAAAAAAAAACAAAATTATAAACAATCAGACTTAACAAATAGATGTGTGTTTACCGATATTAATTATATTATCGTTTATATTTTGATTTATGCTATTCCTGTCAAAAGATAGCCAATCCAGTATAAGAGCCGTTTTTGACAATAACATAATCGACTGTTTAGCTTCGCTTGAATTTTCTTTGTCGCGCTGCATGTAGAATAATTAATTAACAACCTTTTGAACAAATCAATATGAAAACTGATTTACATACTGCATGGGCAATCATTGCGCTGATTAATTGATGTCTTTGGTATTCCGCATTTGGCTTTGCTGAGCGAAATGCACTGCATATCCATCTTATTATGTCCAAAAGTGTATATCCGGAAACTGAAAAATCCCTAAAAAATGTGTCGAATTTTCGTGGAAAAGCTTTTGGTGTATGCTAAGTTGAAAAGTTCGTAAATAAGTGAAATATTCTGAAGAAATTCATTTAATCACAAGAGAAAAAATATAGATTGACTTTTACATTTTCCAAGTATGCGGTTATTCTCGCTTTTTCATCGTTTGTAAGGCGACTACTCAAACAATAATCCATCGTTGGTTTTCGTATCATAAGCAATTTTGCTATTAATGACGTAAATAGAAACTTAAGTTCGTGTATCATTTATAGTATATTATAAAAATTAGACAACCTTACCATTATGATCTAGATTACTATAAATGGCCGCAAAGTCGGGTATGTTTGAAACTTCTAACAACAATCGATACAAATCACGACCGATTTTAAAACATACGTTATACTGATTAAAACCAACGAGAGTTACTCAATAAATTAACAGCGCCGATTAAAACGTAAAAACTTCTTCTACATACGTGATTATCAAAAATAATTTTGCAAAATTGTGCTTCTCGAGTCCGTAGCTGATCAAATCTGTCATGTTCCCTTGCCAAGCTCGCAAACGTATAGAAAGTCACATGTATCAATCGTTCATTTTGAAATAGCCACGCTCTATAATAACAAAAAAGGACTTTTTGTTATTATTTATAACGAATGGATTTCATGCAATCATATGGGGTTTCAATAGAAACCAAGAAATTTGGTTTTAATAAGTTTTTTTAAAGCTTTAAATTAAATTATCTCAACAACTATTAAAATCAAACTTTATAAAATTTTTTTTTATTTTAATTCTATAACTATATAGAATTAAAATAAAAAATTTTTTATCAAGTTTAGTTTAATATTTGAGATATTTTAACCTAAGTTAAAAAAAATTTTACTTAGGAACAATTTACTTGGTTTCTATTGACACCCCATATAATTATGCAATTATCAATACAGAAATATATGTACGATTCTCTTTTTAACAATTCAAGCATCTTCTCGCATAGCCAAATGTTTGGCTCAGAATTGTCACCTCCTAACGTGTTAAAAAATAGGTAAAGCAATTCAATATGTGCATATAATTATTCAGAAGAATATATTTGGATTAATTTTTACCACGAATCTGGCGAAGAAGATTTTCAATGACTTCATACAAGCCAGGTTGAGCATTCACCGTAGTTTCTCTATTATCATCTATTATGATGGTAATAAGCCATAAAATCTATAAAAAAAAAATTCATAGATAAATTTTCTGATTGCTAAACGAGTTTACATAGTGAAGGATTTTTCAACATGCCCGATCAATTGTTTTTCTCGAATATAACGCAAAGCCTCTGTATTTAACTATCTGGTTTATCGAAGATATAAGATAACCGTAACTGTCCTTGTCGTGATCACAAATGTTGTCATAGTACTAAAAGAGCCAAGGTAATCATTATACACGAATATGCTATAAAAATATTTGTTATCCATTAATATCTAAGCACCTTTGAATAATCATCTTCCGTTAGAATTCCATACAGTAGTGCTGATACAATTTTTCTATACCCATACTGCGCTGTTTCTACCTAGTAAAAATTATTAATGACTATGAATTATAGAAGCACTTTTTAATCGGGAATTATGCAGAAAATTGCAATAGAATGACCTTTTTACCATAGTATAGATAACTCTCTTTCGATCTTCGTCATTTGTTTTTCCGGAGAAAGCATCCATCAACCATCGAAAATTTTCCACCAAATCCTTAAAATTAATATTTATGTAAAAATTTTGCAGCATATTTTGATTTTAAAGTCGCTGACGAATATACCTTTGCAAACCCCGGAGAATCAACCACTTCACATCTACCATTCTTGTCAAACATTATGAACTGTTATCGTAGCAGGGTGTAGGAGGAACGCGATCGGTATAGTTCGTCAAAAAAACGCGTAGAGTGATTCAAAATGTTCAAAAAAGATCCCTAGTGGTGAGATTAAGTACGTATGTACGTACTGTACGACAGTATCTATCACTCACGTGATAGTTTTTAGGTCCCGCACAGGGACCCTGAAAAATTGCGATGCCCATTACACAAATATTGTTTTGGGTAAAGGCAAAAAATGTTTTTTATTGCGAAATAAAATTTTTTGAAAATTTTATTTATCTTGATTAAAATACATAATATTTAGCATTTGTAACGAATCTAATCTAAGATTTTGTCTATTGTCAGCTAAAATATTATTGTAATTAGAAAA